GCCCACATCAATAATGCCTGCGCTGACGGATTCGGAATACATACGCCCACATCAATAATGCCTGCGCTGGCTATTCCACACCATCACCTGTCGGTCTTCCCAGCACTGCCAAGCTTTTCTAGATCTTCACATGGACAAGAAAATCACACTTCCCACTGGATCGAAGTCACAGAAATTCTTATAGTTAAAACAAGGATTAAGACTCAGGTCTGTGTGGGGATTGGCTGCATACATCTGTAATCTCAGCTCTCAGGAAGCTGAGGCAGGAAGATTGCAAGCGCAGGGCCAGCCTGGACTACACAGTGAGACCCTGTATCCAATAAATAAAATAAGCAAAAAAAAAAAAAGATTCAAATCTTCTGAATATTACTCCAGTGCTCTATCAGCTCCCTTCCCAGTTATTTATGATTCTGCTATTGTTCTGAAGTTGCACTATAGCTGGGCATGGCGGCGCACACCTGTAATCCCAGCACTCGGGAGGCTGAGGCAGGAGGATCATTTCAAGTTCAAGACCAGCCTGGGCTACAAAGTGAGTTCAAGCCCAGCCTGAACTGCATAGCAAGACCCTGTCTCAGAAAGGATAAAAAATAAAAAAATAAAAGAATAAATTGCACTATATTGTGGATATGTTCTTCTGGAACAGTATTAAAAAATTAGCAGTGCATTAAAAAAAAAAATTAGCAGTGCATAGTGGCGCATGCCTGTTATCCCAGGACTCAGGAGGCTGAGGTAGGAGGATTGTCGTAAATTCAAGACCAGCTTGGGCTACAAAGTGAGCTCAAGGCCAGCCTGAACTGCATAGCGAGATATTGTCTCAAAAACAAAAAGATTAAAAAGTAAATAAATAAGTAAATGAAAATTAGCAGTAAGCTGGGCATGGTGGCGCATACTTGCAATCCCACACTCAGGAGGCTGAGGCAGAAGGACTGAACTAAGTTCAACGCCAGCCTGAACTGCATAGCGAGGCCCTGCCTCAAAAAAAAAGATTAAAAAAAAGGATGAGCAGTGATAACCAGGATACACAGCTGCTTTGCTGTGCCAGAATGTGCCCTTGGACAACAAGGTTCAGCTTCCCAGGTTTCTGTGCGTCTGGAGTCTCATCAGGCGTGTAGCAATTGCTGACTAACCTCTTAACTTGCAGGTACAAATCCAAGAAATGAGGGAGTGTAAAGGTAGCTAATGTAAACTGTGCAAGAGAATAGAAAGATGATTCTTCAGGGGCTGGGGATTTAGCTCAGCGGCACAGCGCCTGCCTGGCAAGTGCAAGGTCGTGAGTTCGATTCCTGGTACGGGGAAAAAAACAAACAAACAAAAAAAAGATGGTCCTTCTTGTAAGACTTCAGTAACACAAAAACAAAAAAACGTGAAGTGCAATAGCCTTCTAAATGTAAGGTAATGTAGGACACAGTCATACAAAATATACTTTACTGCAAAACTAATAGATATAAGTTAATTTTAGTAACACCTAGTAATTTTCCTTTTTACCTCATTTTGATCATCATTCATAGACTCTTCATCCAGCTGTTGTTCTTTAAGTACTTGATTTTTGTTGTCCTTATCAGGTTCCATTATTCCCTAATAATTAAAAAGAAACTTTGGTAATGTATGTGTATACAAACTCAAGAAGAAAAGAAAAAACATTTACCCTTCAAAAAAAAAGGATTAAAAAAAAAAACCAGGCACGGTGATGCACGCCTGTAATCCCAGCACTCGGAGGCTGAGGCAGGAGGATAGTTGCAAGTTCCAGGCAGCCAGGGCTACAAAATGAACTCAAGGCCAGCCTGAACTGCACAGAGAGACCCTGTCTCAAAAACACACTAAAGGGAAAAAAAAAAACAATTTACTCTTCTATGGAAGAAACATTTCTTCTTTGCTAGCTTTTTCTCACCATCAAAGTCTTTATTTTCATGTGGTTTATATCCAGCCTGCATTTCGAATAACTTTCACACCTAAAAACATACAAAAGTCCTAAAAACCTTCGCCTCTCAACTCAGTGTTGTACAGAAAACAGTGGACATTAATATTCCTCTGTAATCCACGTCCCAATCCTATTATGCTTCATTTTAGACAACTGCTTTGATCTTTCAATCTTTAGCGATGGATCTGACTTAGCTATTTAGTTCTCACTGTTGTACTTAGCAAACATCAGCAAAGCATGTAAGCCCGACACAGCCCTCCTCTGCACAGCTGATCTCACCTGGCCTTTTCTTAACTGTGTCACTAACTTGGATGGGGCTGGGGGAGGGTTACAAGGTCTTTTGTACCCAAAAAAATTGAACACATTGTACCCAAAAAAATTAAACAGCGCTTGAACTCCACTTTCTAAATTGAAGATGCCAAATTCTCTGGTCTTCGGCAAGGCGGATTCGGAATACATACGCCCACATCAATAATGCCTGCGCTGGCTATTCCACACCATCACCTGTTGGTTTTCCCAGCACTGCCAAGCTTTTCTGCTGAAGAGACTTAACAGTCTCTTCAGTTATAACCATAGGCAACTATGGCAGTACTCACAGCACCTGTGATAAAGCCACCAGTAGAAAGCAGATATTTTCACAGAACATTGTAACTTTTTTTTTTTTTCCAGTACCAGGAAAGTTTTTGTTTTTATTTATTTTGGGGGTGTTACCAGGGATTGAACTCAGGACCTTGCACTTGCCAGGCAGGCACTTATACCACTGAGCTCTATCCCCAGCCCCACAGAACACTGTAATTGTTGCAGATATTCTGAAATATGTTTTTTTGTTTTTTGGTTTGGTTTTTGCAGGGTTTTTTTTTTTTTGGTTTTTTTTTTTGGTCTTTCTGAGACACGGTCTTGCTATGCAGCTCAGGCTGGGCTGGGGCTCACTTTGTAGTTCAGGCTGGTCTCGAACTTGCAACAATCCTGCCTCAGCCTCCCTAGTGCTGGGATTACAGGCATGCCCACCACTCCTGGCCTTAAAATATGGTTTACTTAACCCAGTTTTTTTTTTTTTTTAACCCAGGCTCTACAGTAGTTATTAAGCTCCCTGCTAGGTCTTATGATACACTGTAAATACTGATGCATGTTACTACAGCAAAAATTTGCTTAAATATTTTGATAATCACATTTCAACATAATAAGCTCCCTTTGTAAGTCTACGTATTTCATAATACGTTTTTAAAAATTTGTATGTTTTGTTTTGTGTTTGTGTTGTCTGTCTGTTTTGAGAAAGGCCCATAAGCTTGAGCAGTCTGGCGAACAAGGAGTCAACGACACACAAGAAAATGCAGAAGTCCTGCCCACACATTAATTCACTAAGACGGAAAATTCCCAGGTCAAAATTGGGACAAGGGATATCATGACTTCAGGTTTTTCAGTGTACATTAATAACCAGCGTGCAATATAATTTTCCAGGATTTTGAGTAGTTAGACTCTCGGAATTCTTGTAAGAGAAACAGAGGACATCTATTTCTGATGGAAATTAAATAAAAGATTAGGAAGAAACTAGTCATGCCTTTGTTTACCACGGTGAATTCAGGGATGTCAGAAAAACAAGGGGTCACGTAACACCCAGAGCTTGTTTTGTAATATTATTCAACAACACATGGAACCAAGTCCCCTGGGAGCAGCGGTGACCCTAGGCCGGGACAGGAGGTACACAGGCCAGGCCTGGGGTATCTCCTGGTGCCACACAATTAAAAAGCGCAGGAAAACAAACCAAAACGCACCACAGCTGTGACGGGACACGGCATGGAGACCAGGAGAAAGAGCTCCAGGCGCCAGACAGACACCCAGGGGACTGACCTAGGCAATGAGTTACAGAGGCTGGGAGCCAGCGGCTTCACTGTCAGAGAAAACAACCGCACGTTTGGAAAAGAGGACAGCAAGAATAAACGCGGGGTGCCGGAACTGGATATGTCAGTACAGACTCAACAGACAGATGATAGATAGATGACAGATAGATGACAGATGATAGATGATAGATGGATAGACAGGTGATAGATGATAGATGACAGATAGATGGATATAGGCAGATGATAGATGATAGATGATAGATAATACATAGATTATAGATGACAGACAGATGATAGATAATAGATACATAGATTATAGATGACAGACAGATGATAGATGATAGATAATAGATACATAGATGATAGATGATAGACAGATGATAGATGATAGATAATAGATACATAGATGATAGATGATAGACATGATATAGATAGATGGATGATAGGTGATAGATAATGATAGACAGATGATACAGAAGATAGAAGATAGATAAGATAGATGACAGAGATAAGATAGATGGGGGCTGGGGATTTAGCTCAGCTGCACAGCGCCTGCCTGGCAAGCACAAGGTTGTGAGTTCGATTCCTGGTACAGGAAAAAAAAAAGATGATAGCTAGAGATAGATGATAGAAGACAGATAGATATAGATAACATAGATGATAGATGATAGACATAAGATAGATGATAGAGATAGATGATAGAGATAGGATAGATGATAGATATAGATAGATAAGACAGATGATAGATAGATAGATAGGGGCTGGGGATTTAGCTCAGAGGCACAGCACCCGCCTGGCAAGCGCGAGGTCGTGAGTTCAATTCCCGGTACCAGAAACTGCTCCCCCAAAAAAGAAAACAGCCGGGCGTGGTGGCGCATGCCTGTAATCCCAGCACCTGGGAGGCTGAGGCAGGAGGATCGCTGCAAGTTCGAGACCAGCCTGGGTTACAAAGTGAGCTCCAGGCCAGGCTGAACTGCATAGCGAGACCCTGTCTCAAAAAGACAAAAAAAAAAAAAAAAAAAGAAAGAAAAAGAAAACAAATTGTGCAAACGCATAAAAACTAAACAATACGTTCTGAACAATGGGTCACGGAGGAAATCAGGAAGAAATGAGAGCATTTGCAGACTACACACGGACGCCAGCACAGCTCACCCAAGCGTCAGCGAGCAGTGGAAGCCGCGGAAGAGGAGCGCGCACAGCTGTGAACGCTCACAGCAGAGAGCGGGCCGAGCTCAAATAACCTGCAGTGCACCCTGAGGTCCTAGCACACAAACACAAGCCCAAAGCTAGTGCGAGGAAGGGAACTTCAGAGCAGAAAGCAGAGAAATCGAGACCAAAAAAGAAGTAATGAATGAAGATTTTTCTTCAAAAGAATAAAACTTTAGGCAATCTCACCAAGAAAAAGGAAAGACCCAAATCAATGCAATTAGAAATGAAAAAGGTGAAACCACAACAAACAATGGCAAAATAGAAGAAGATTATTTCCAGGCAGGGTGGTGCACTCCTATAATTCCAGCACCCAGAAGGCTGAGGCAGAAGGATCGTGGCAAGTTTGAGACCAGCCTGGGCTACAAAGTGAGCTCAAGGCCAGCCTGAACTGCACAGCGAGACCCTGTCTCAAAAAGACAAAAAAACAAAGAATATCAAAAAGAAAAAATTATTAACAACTGCTTGGTGAACCTGTATGCCAATAAATTGGAGAATTCAGGAGAAACGACAGATTCCTAGATACATATGAGTTACTTTTTTCTTTTTTTTTTACATATGAGTTACTAAAACTGAACCAAGAAGATTGAAAAACCGGAACAATCCAGTAACAGGCACTGAAATTGAAACTGTAATTAAAAAAAAAAAGTAGCAACTAAGAAACCCCCAGGTCTGGAAGCGTTTATTGCTGAATTCTACAAAAACTTCAGGGAAGTTCTAACCCAACACCCCTCAGCTTTTTGATGACACTGAAAGGGAAGGTGTTCTCCCAAGGGCATTCCTGGAACTATCGCTGCCTCGAGCCCAAACTAGACAGACACCCAACCAAAGAAGAGACCTGCGGGCCAATCTCTTCAACGCACAGAAATGCAAAGATCCTCAGTAAGATACCGGCAAAGAAAACGCAACAAATCACCCAGATCATACACCCCCGCCAAGAAGCCGTCTTCCCAGGGACGCGGGAAGGTTCCACACACACAGACCGATACATGTGATACATCACATAAGCAGAGATAAGGACAAAATCACAGGGTTATCTCAGTAGACACCAAAACAGCCTTGGACAAAGTCCACCATCTTTTTGTGATTAAAAAAAATTGAAGAAAATAGGTACAGAAGAAAAGTCAAATTAGCATTATTTGCAAATAACATGATTCTCTACATAGAAAACCCAAAAATCCACCAAACAAGTCTTAGAATTAATAATCAAATTCAAGAATGTAGGGTACAAAATCAACACACAAACGCTGGGCGTGGTGACGCTCGCCTGTAATCCCAA